TTGGTGTCATCACAGTCCCTTCACCAGGTCAAGGAGATTCCAGTGCTCTGTGGTGATCCATTTGCAGATGATCCACATGCTGGCTACCCCAGGGACCCTGCTTCCATTCTTGGTAAGATTTTAATCTCCTGAACATGTGAACAGCAAATGCCAGATGGGGTGCAGTGGTGTTTCCTCAAGAAAGAAGAAAAATGAAAAAGAGTGTGCATTTTTTTAAAGACTTGTTAGCAAGAAAACACAGGGGTGAGCCTCCCCCACCTCCAAGGGGTAAAGCCACATAGGCCAAACAGATTTCTCTAAAATGAGAATATTCATTTATTTCAGCAAATGATTGTAATCTAATGTTGTTCTGGGGGAAAAAATGCTAATTCTCTGCACAGACACATACCATCTTTAAAAAGACTATTTTGGAATTACACGCAAATGACGAATGCCTGAAGTTGTCAAAGTATTTTCAGTGTCTGCACTCATCATGGGAGATGACAGTCAGCAGAAACGTGTTCTGCATCTCCCCAGGTAAGGCCCCTGGCTCGCCACACTTGCTCTCACCTTCGAAATACTGCTCTTCATTTGACATTTCCACAGTTGGCTGCTCTTTAGGAGAACTGTTTACCTTCCCAATAGCTACTCCACAGAATTCACAAAGAGATTCTAGCTGCCTGTTGCTTGGTTTGCTGGATTCTCACAGTGCACCTTGTATCTAGGTGACCCCTTATTTATTAGAGTAACAACAGTATAATATGGTCTACTGTTCAGATCATACCTCCATCTGGCTTCCTGTTATGGTCCAAAACTGCTGACGTTGGTAAGAGTGGACACCAGAATAAAACTCTCATGACCACCATCCTTCCATACCTGTGTGGATCTCCCTCCTGTGTGTACCTGTGTGCACTCAGATTATCACTTGCGTGTGTTAAGAACACTCTGTAGCTCAAGTGCCAAGCTGAGACAGGAAGCCCTGGGAACAAGAACGAGGGCCCTGCCCTCTGGGAGGCCGCGGTGTCCTGGGACGCAAAGACATGGGCCAAATATTCCCGCGAGGTGTCAGGCCCAGGGCAAGCTGCTACATGGGTCCAGGAGCATGTCTGCAGTCTGGGAGGTTCGGAGAGCACTTCCCTAGTGCCAGCATCTTCCAGGAGGGTTGGCCAGCATGGAAGCAGAGCCTTCCAGCAGATGGAAGTTCGCATGTGAAGCCTCGGAATGAGGCACGGGCAGAGGCTCCCGTCAGTGTGGCTGGAGTGAAGAGCCCAAGGACAGTAGGCAGATGAGCATAAGACGAGCAGAGCAACAGTCAGGAGCCAGACAACACAAAGCCAACAGGCGAAGTTAAGGAGTTTGCACTTTATGCTAAGGCAGTAGAAGCCTCTGGCTGTTTCTGGCAGGGTTGACTTGCTCAAATTGGTGCTTTGGAAGCCTCTGGTAGCAACGCAGAGCACTGCAGTGCTGTTCACCAGGGACCACTGTTGTCATCCCCTTATGGGCTTTGTGGAGCCAGTCACTGGAGTGCCTGGCCAGTGAGGCAGAGCCAGGATCTGAACCAAAGCCCCTGAATGAACCACTCTGCGCCCCAGCCCATTTGATTTGGCTGGTTTGGGTCTGACAAGATTTCTCATCTGAACATGAAGGCAAAGATGTAACACCTCCCTAAAATCCACCATATGTATGTACTACAAGTGTGTCCTGCAATAAACACGTTACACACGTAGTAAATTAACACACTGTAAGTCATGCCCCATGTGTGCATGTGTGCGAAAAGGAAAAGAGGAAAGAATGGTAAGATCAGCTACTCAGGTGCAGCACACCAGCTTCACACCTGTCACCTGGCAGCCATGTTCTGTCTGTGTCCCACCCACTTGCACCACATGCCATCTTGGGTTCTTGTGAAGCAAATCCAAGATATAACACTGTTTCATCCACAAATATTTCAGAATGTTTCTCTAAAAGGTAAGGACTCTTTTCTGTTTAAGGTAATAAATTTTCACTTCTAAAAAGTTTAACAAGTCTAGTCTAAAGTCACTAAAATACCCAGCCCATGTCTTCATTCCTCCGGTTGGCTCATGGGTTTTTTTCCCTGTGTTTTAACTCAGTCTCCTCCAACTTGCATGCTCCCCAACCCCTTTTATGTTTCCTTGTACCCTGTTTCCTGGATTTGGCTGCACAGATCCTGGCAGTGTCTTAAGCATGTATTCCAGCCCCTGTATTCCTATAAACTGGTAGCTAGATCAAGATCTGATCAGATTCAGGTTCAATTTTCTTTGCAGAAATACTCCATCACTGGTGTTGGCCTATCTATCTAATGTGCCCTGTATCAACAGGGTGGAACAGACACGTAGAAATGTCTGAATGCCAAGGAGCCTGCCTTTGGGACTTTTACACAAGGTCACACTGCCTACCTCTTGGTTACTTCATTTTTTCGAGGCCAACATCTGCACAAAGCTGGAGATGCAGTTGCTGCCATTCTCCACCAAAAGGAGCCAGGGCTCAGTGGGGAAAAGGCTGATTCCAGAGCTAGGACAGAGGACACGATGATGGACCTGGAGGGAAGATGCCGCCCAAAAGCATGGGACTGTCAGGCAGCAGCCATGGAGAAGGCACACTGCCCAAACCTGGGACATTCAAACAGCAGTGGTGACAGACTGGGACTCCCAGGGTAAAACGCAGGAGCCCACAGTGAGGCACTGAGCAGGGACACCATCCTTGCTGTAGGAAGCCCACTGAACAGCAGGGGCGGTGCAGTGCTGACGGTGAGACAGTGAGAACTCTTTGTAGTATACTTGCAACATTTCTGGGAGTCCAAAATTAAGTCCATGTGAAAAGTTAAAGGAAAAAAACTCTAAGGAAGAACCTGTGTGTCTCACCTTCCTCACTGGTCCCACTGAAGCCACAGGGAGTGAGGGCAGGAGCCTGGCCTGGAGGCGGGCGGCACCCTCCTGCCCCACCAGCCTGGGATCGCTGGCCCTTTGGCACAGGCGGGTCCCACACTCAGGGTATGTCCATCTCAGAATTGGGAAACTGAGCACAGAGCAGCACGGCTCCTGCTGACAGGGTCTGCCGTTTCCACCTCACGCTTGAAGTGCCCTGCTGCCCCCCTCCCTGTTCCCAGCTGTGTACTTGGTAAACACAACTGGGCTCTACTTGGAGTAGGTGATCACAACTGGCCTGCAAATCTCATGCTTTTATGTACCTGTTTTTGAGAGGTGTATATAAATTTCCTGCTGCAAATAACATAAACTTTGAAAACTGTCTAATCAATCAGTTCAGAAGGGACTCAGGAAGCCTCCTCCAGCAGAGGGCTGAGAATTCCAAAGCTGTGAGCTTTCAGTCTCTGATTTGTACTGTAGGGATGTTACTTGCTTGACCCTGATGAAAGATTACTGCATTCCTTGATTTTACAAGAAGGCTGGGGAGAGGAAAGTGAGATTATCTTTGAGCATCTAAGGTTCTTTCATGGAATGGGCTCCATGAAAGTCCCTGCACAGTCCATGTTCTTGAAAATAGGTGAGCCATGTATTTATCATCCAAGTTGCCCCTCCTCAGAGCAAGGCACTATTAGTAATAACTCCTGTCTAACAAGTGTAAACTGGCATTGCAGCACCCTGCCGTCCCCCACAGATCCCAACTACTGAGAGGCTGGTAGATCCCGTTTATTCTAGAACACGCTTCTGCACCCTAGAGTAAGCAGAGGTAGATTGGGATGGAGGAGTTTAGAGGCCAGAATCTCTCTCACACTTTGACCCTGATTCTTTCCATGGATAAGATCACTCCACTTGAGTCCTTGCTTTAGTGGCTATTGCAAAATGACAGCCAGGACTGACCACAGGTGTCAGGACAGATGGGGTGCATCTGAGACGCGGGAGCACTGGTGGGGTGTCCCAGGGTGAGTGTGTGCAGTCTGGTCTCTACCTGGTGCCCTCCTGTGGTCTCGACTCTGCCACCATGCCTCTCCATCATTCCCACACGTGAGGTTAGGCATGTGGACTAGTCAACACGTGCGCACCTGCCTCTCCTCCCTGGGAACATGACCGAGTCACTGTCTGTACACTAAGGACCAGTGGATTAATTCATCGTGGCCACTGGGAATAAGGCAAGACCCCTCCCTCAGTTCCAGAGATGACCTGCTTCCCAGCATGGCTTGCCTCGAAGCCAACACCTTCACCAATCCTTAGGAACCACCCAGTCGCACCAGCACAAGGTCTCTTAAAACCCCAAGTCCTCTTATCAATAAGATGGTGAGTTTCTGACAAATAGTAATTAATGATTAAACGGGGATCTGGAGCCAGACTGTGCGAATTGGGACCAAGACTCCACCATTCACAAACCCTGAGCACACCCCACCACCTCCACAAGCCTGCTTCCTCAGCTGTAAAGTGCCACCCACTCTCAGGGCCCCGCCACCAAGGTCGATGAGGTGACTCGCAGAGTGGCTGACACAGGGCCTGGTGCGTACTGAGCACTCAGCTGAGTGTTTTATCATTACCGTAACCTGTCCCCCCACACCTGGGGTTGAGTTAGAAGGCAACTAACACTTCTGAATTAACCAGGAATAAACCCACAAACAAATGGACGAATAAGTATCATTCTAAGACAAAAAGCCTTTGCCATGGCAATATAAAACTGCTAATGGGCATGTGATCCCAAAGGAAGCTTTGTTCCAGTACTGAAAAAAAAGGCTCAGAAGGAAGGTGGCCAGCTCTGCGGTTTCTTGGCACCCATCAAACATGACATTGAGTTGTGCACGCCTTGGTGTTCTCAGGGGACCCGAGGGCACTGCCTGGGGAGCCAGCCAGAGATGCCACCTGCTCCCCAAGTTGCCTGACAATGGCCCTGGGGGGTCTCTGAAGGGAGCAAAGAGGAGGAAAGTTGCTGTCAGCCAGTCCAATAAAATCAGGCAAAGGTGTCAAAAATAGAAAACCAGAGGCCATTTCTGTCCTCAAGGGCCTAGAACAGCAAGTGAGCGAGCGCTGGTCTGCAGGTGGAGTGGTGAGTGAGTCCATCTCTGCTCATCATTCATAATATTTATTTTGGAAAAATATTTTAAAAAGGACTTTCTTCATTAACAAAACAGTAAAAAACTCAAATAACATTTGCACAATATTCCATAAATACATTTATATACACAAAAATATAGTCACATAGACCCGAAGTGCCTTTGTACATATTTACCAAAAATTTAAATTATAAAAAAATGAACATCACAAAATACTCAAGCTTTACAGATATCATGAAAAATATTTTTACAAGTCCAAAAAATAACACACATTTTTTTTCCATCTAGAAAAAAAACACATTTTAGTATCAAAAAGGACGATAAAGGCAGTGTTTGTGATTCTAATTCAAGAAAAGACTGGCTCATAAGAATCCAAAATATACACTTCAGGCAGTGCATGCTTCTTATGTAGGAATTAAGTCCATTCATTTAAATATATATTTTCTAAAAAGCAACTGTCCATAGTGCAACGGAAACACGGTCAGAGGCAGCGCCTCGGGCCTCGGGCGTCGGGAAGAGGCCGGCGCCGTCCGGACGGGCTCCTCGGCGGCAGGCGGAGGGGGCCTCCCTGTCCTCTCAGCAGCATACGTTGGGGCATTTATCCTTGGAATTCTGTTTGTTTGAAGAGACGGGGATTTTTCCAGGTCACCTCCATGTCACACCTGGGGGGGCCCGGACAGAACGGTGTCAGCTCGGGGTGGGGCGGCCTCCCGCGGCCTCCGCGCGCCCCCTGGGGAGGCCCGACGCACTGACCTCGGTCGCTATGACGCACTCGTCCTTCCCCTCCGATATGACGTACACCGATTGGTACTTCGTGTCCTTCGAAGGGGAATACACAGGGTCCGGCCTTTTCCCGTCGGACGCGTCTCCGCTGAAAGGAACACGAGAGACCCGTGCCACGCGGGGCCTGGGCGGCGGCCGTCGCCTGGAGGTAGGCGCGCGGCGGCCCCCCGCCCGCCCCTCCCAGCCGGCCTCCCCGCGCCCCCGCCGGCCCACAGCACGCACCCCTGCAGGCCCGGGGCGCCCTTCTCCTCCCGCTTGCCGTGCGGGTCCCCGGCGGGGGCGGCCTCGCCCTTGAGGCCCTGCACCAGGTTGTAGTCCACCGACGGGTAGCGGGCCTTAAGGCCGTGCCTGTCCGCGCCGGGGTCCCCGTGGAGGTCGGCCTTCTGGTTGGTGTTCTTGATCTGCGCGGCCCCGACGACGCTCACGGAGACGCCCTTCTCGTGCTGGCGGTTGGCCAGGTTGTTCATGGTCTCCGTCTCCCTGCGGCCCGTATCGGCGGCCGGCCGGCCCTTCCGCAGCCTCAGCCGCACACAGACTACCATGGCAGCGCAGCCCAGCAGCAGCGTGAGGACCAGCACGGCCCCCGCAGCCACGGCCACCCAGGGGAAGGCCCCGGCCGGGCGCTCCACGTACTGCTCCGTGAGGTCCACCAGCGCAGGGCCCGGGCCCGGCTCGGGCAGCAGGAACTGGCAGTTGGGGCCCCCATAGCCATGGGCGCACTCACACAGGTAACGGCGGTCCCTCTCGTGGCAGGTGGCCCCGTTGTGGCAGGGAGCGTGCTCACACCTGCTGACAGGCGCGCTGCAGTTCCGGCCTGTGTACCCAGGCGGGCAGGTGCAGAAGTGCTCGTTCACACCATCCCGGCAGGTGCCCCCGTTGGCGCAGGGGGAGTGGGCACAGTCATCCACGTTGTCGTCGCAGTGCCGCCCGGAGAAGCCAGCCTGACAGCGGCACAGGTAAGTATCGCCGAGGTCCACGCACTGTGCACCTGGAACACAGGACGGGAGCCGGTGCTCGCCTCAGCAAGGCTCAGAAGCACCTGCTGAGCAGCCGCTGCTGTGGCAAATCACTACCCCCAAATGGGAGCCCTTCGGAGGAGCCTGTAAGTTTCGGACAAAGAGGCTGCTCCTGAGCTTGGCAGGAACTGGGCACCGTGCTTGCCTGATCACTGCATTTGCCTTCCAGAAGACCCAACAAAGGACAGTTTACAGACGAGCGACTGAGGCGTAGGGGAGATGTGCTTGCCCCCAGTTACACGTGGTGAGAAGAGCAGGGACTGGAAGCAGAGAGAGAGGAGGAGAGGAAGGAGGCCCGGAGGCCGGGAGGCTGGGAGAGAGGGACCCTGCCCTTCCAGCACCAGGTCTGGTACACCTCCAGTGATTGGCCTTCCTAAAAACAAGGCCTCCAACACCTCTTGGCTCAGGGAACAGAAGCAAGAGAGCCACTTGGCCCCAGAGCGCTGCCACACCCTCTGCACACCTGTACGGAAGTGAGGCTGGCACGGCTCTTCTTCGCAAAGTGCTCCCTGCATATCATGGGCAATGGGAAGCTACCCAAGCTCCCAGCATGGTCCAGACTGTCGGGGCCGGCTTCCTACCCAGTGAGTCTGCACAGGGCATCGCTACAACAGCAGGCACCCTTCAGCAGACCACGCCTCCTCACACAGACACACCAGACGGCCATGTTTGGGTGACAGGAGAGCCAGGCTTCCCTCCAGAGTGTCTGGGTTGCCATTTGAGTGTGATCTGAGCTGTGGCGTGGTCCCTGGCACCTGAGGTCTGTGTGGCCTCACACAGATCATTTCCCCCCCTCTCTGCCTCAGGCTTTCCCTGTAGGATGTGAGAATGAACATTCCTGCCTGCTTTTCTTGCTCCCAGGGCATTTCAAGACAAGACTCGAGGATAAGACTTCTATAGTTTCTGACTGTTCAGATAGAGAGGCTCCATAAACTCGAGGTAGCTTACAAAGCAATGTACTTGGCTAGGGTGCCTTCCAATTTGTTCTTATCAGTGCTGATGATGCCCCAGGGCAGGGGATGGCCTCTCACCATTAGAACAGGGTGAAGAGCTGCAGGAGTCCAACCTCTTCTCACAGTTAAAGCCGGAGAAGCCCAGAGGGCAGCGGCAGGTGTACCCCCCCTCAGGGTTGTCTGAGCACCGTCCTCCGTTGAAGCACGGGCCGTCTGCACATGCCATGGCGCTCAGCTCACAGATTCTGCCGTAGAAGCCAGGGGGGCAGGTGCACGAGTAGCTGTTCTCAAGGTCCTAGGTAATGATGAGGAAGGCAAAAAGGCTCCAAAGTTGCCTCAAGAGACCATGGGTGTGTGTCCCCATGAGCTGGGGCTCCCCTTGCTCAGCAGGCAGGCCCACATGGCTAGACTCACCGTGCAGCTCCCCCCGTTCCTGCAGGGGCTTGTGCCACACTCATCAACCTCTGTCTCGCAGTTGGCCCCTGTGTACCCAGGCCGACATGAGCAGGTGTAGCTTCCCTGGCCCGTGTTGGTGCAGGTGGCCCCATTCTTGCAAGGCTTATGGTGTGTGCAGTAGTTCAGGTCTGTGAGGGGCAGACACAGGGGAGGGACAAGAGGGAAGCCCAGGATGAAATTTAGGAAGGCTGTGTCTCCTGCATGACAAGGTCAGAGAAGCTCAGGCTGCCTGGAAGGGTCAGGAGGCTTACCCTGGTTGCAGAAAAGGCCCCCCCAGCCTTCCTGGCAGTTGCACTGCCAGGGTTGCTGGCAGGTGCCATGCAGACAGCCTGGGTACCGAATGCACTGGTCACAGTACCGGCCCTGCCAGCCTACTCTGCACCTTGGGAGAGAGCAGGTCAGAGTCAGGCAGATGCTGGTGGGACTGGTTTTCAGCACATGGTTCCCACCCTCGAGGAACTGCTCCCAGAAGCACCGAACTGCCACCTCAGGAGCTTGAAACACACAGATGGCTGGGTCCCACCTCAGAAGATCTGACTTCTCGATGTAAGGACCAGACCGTATTTCTAGGGACTCCTGAGGCTGATCTGATGTGCTGCAAAGTTTGAGAACCACTGAACTAAACCCTCTCATCTTCTGTGCCTATTATTTTTAAACTACTATGTAGAAGTTCCCATAACCACTGAGGAACTTAGCTGAATGACAAGTCATGACCCTAGGCATTTCCATGTATTTATTTTCTAAGTAGGAACACCAGAATTAGCCCTCCCACCAGCTAATCTTACCTGAAGTTTTCAAATGATCATCTAGAGATGCTTTACAAATACACTATGAGTAAAAGGATAAGAAACACTTCTCAAAGTAATATTTGCAAACTTACTTGCATTCCCCTGGCTTGTCACAAAACCCATGCTGCTCATCACATCCTGGCAAGCAGATTGCTGCATGCAAAGAAAAGACACAGGGTCAACCCCATCCCAAACAGAGGCAGCTGCCATGACAGGGCTGGGACAAGACTTGCCTAGTTTAGTTGGAGAACCGGACTGAACTAATCTCCTATCTGTAGTGTCTGACCAGTCTTGCCTAGTAACTGTGGACTTTACTCAGCCCGGGGCATGAGCATTCTTCTTAACACAGTGGCTCAAGGACAAAAGAGTACGGAAGCCCCCACCCCCACCCCATCCCCTTTTCTTCTAAGCGAGGGTCAGAAGTCCTTCCCCCTCCTCCCCCACTTCCCAATTCTATGCAGAAAGCTCCACCTCTTAATACCCAGAAAGTGTGTGCGCAGATAAGGGTGGACAGCTGGTGTGCAGAGCACCAGGGCTGGACAGCTGCTCCATTGTCTGTTCTCTCCCAGCAGCTGCCTCGCTGCAACAATACCGGCCTCCCCCTCACCCCCATGCCCCCACCCGCGCACCCCTAGCAT